TCAGTCATACAACATGGCGGATTTGGTAAAACAAGTGAGGGTCACTGAGCTGCTATTGGCTGCGTGCTCTTGTCCTCAATCCGTACGCGAGGTTGTACAGCCGCACCTCAAGCCTATGTGTACGCGCATGCGATGACGTGTCCCACACCTCAATGGGATTTATATTATCAAATCAAACAATGTATTATGTGAATATTGCTCGATGACAAATCCAAATTAGGTTAACACTGATGAATAAAGATTTCTTAAATAGTTCGCTGAAACTAATATATCACAACCACGATTTTCAAATGAGAAAATTTTGTTCATATAACTGACTAAATGTCAATGCGGCAACCCTGTGAGACCTTTATTCTTCAGACCATCTTCATCTCACCCTCATCGCTTCTTCTTTTTGTATCTATAACTGCACTTTGCCTACACACTAGCTCACTCAGATAGATATATTTCCGATAACATCTATTAAAAACATCAACGTCATAACGCCCGACCTTCTCCTGGCTCAACAAAATCCCCCCCCCCCACGAAAGACAATCCAATCGAGCTTCCTATTTTTGAACACAACAAATGCCCAATATAGACACTGCAATTAAAAACAGCCATAACCAACGTCACAACTTGAAAACGAAGAAGTACTGACACTTCTTGATAAAAGAAAGTTTTATTACTTGACACGTATTATGGAATATTTACAAATATTTATGATTACGACAAATTTATTAATAAAACAGCGTGGTATTGCTTTTCTCCCTATAATTTTAAGCTTTAGCCTTCTTTTCTGCTGGTGCGGTGATAACAGCAGTTGAGGACTTGCGCTTTTGTCCAGCTGAATTTGTAGTCGTTGCCGCTGCAGTTGAAGCACCTGCAACACCTTGAGAAATACGGGGTTTCGCTTTATCATCCGCTTCAATTTCACGTTCAATGAGGGTGATTAGGGTTCCGCATCTACGTTGAAGCTCCTAAATTCAAAAAATATAAAAATCCGATTGGCCACAATTATTGATTCAATTCTTAAATTATGATAACAGGTATATATTTGGGTAATAATTAGGCGAATGAAACATACCATGGAAGTTCTCGATCGAATGAACCAGTTGAAACGGAACTGAGGAGCAAGTCTAATAGCGAGTCTCAGATCATCGTAGACATTATCACGATCAATGCCTAATTTATGCAGCATGCAAATCAGGAAGCGATCATCTTCTTCAGTGTAGTTCTTGCCCTTATTTGGACCGTATGTTATCCTCAGTTGATGGAATGGCGCTCTGTAACGTCCCATTTTGATATCCAGAGCACGTTTGACTGCAGCACGTCGCTGAATCTTGGTCTCACCACGCTCAATCTAGAGAAAAGCGTCAGAGTAGGTCAGATATTGTCATAAAGAATATAGTGCAGTGGCATAAAGAATTAACAAACCTGACTCATATGTTTGTCAACATCTTGAAGCTCATTACATCGAGCCCAGAATACACGAGCATATTTCTTAACCTCCTCAGGAGTTTTACCCTCAATGTCTTGAGAGATGGCCTCTAAGTCATCACGTCCATGTTTTTCGTTGGCTTTGATAAATTGTTGGAAATCACGTTTGGACCAATTGGTGAAACCCTGGGTGAGGAGTTCTGACTTTTCAGCTTCTTCCTCAGGAGTTAGTTGTTGGGCCTCGTCAATCTTCTGCTGCTCCTCTTGACATTCACGTTGCTCTTCAGGCCCAGCGGAAGGGTTAATCGGTACCCTATAGTTTATACTCTTTCTAAAATAGAGGAAAAAAGCCTAGTTATTCTCCGATAACATTTATCAAGATTCGGGTACACTTTCTATTATAACCTAATTATCGTTATAAAAATTATTAGGTTGACAACTAAGTCATTGCCGATTTCAAATAAGAAGGCAAATTCGGAATTTTTGTTTAAAAATATAACTTTATTCAATTAGATATTGGCCGTTCTTGTCGATGACCTTTTTCCATCCTTCTGGCAGAGTAAAAATTCCCCGTTCGTAAAATGTCCCGTCTTTGCTATTAAAAAACTGAATTAGGTGTGATCCGACATCATCCGCGTTGTTAAACATTTTACCATTTAAAGAGTTTTGCATGGAACGAAACAAATGGTAATCCGAAGGCGCAAGGTCAGGGCTATATGGTGGGTGTGACAAAACATCCCAACCCAGTTCCAATAATTTTTGCCGAGTAACCAAAGATGTGTGCGGGGGCCTTGCGTTAT